ATTCCCGATGGGCAGGATTCCAAGTCTAGACTCTGCAGGGATGGTTCCGAGAAGTGAGTGCTCTGGCGTACAGACGACGTTGTGAGAGGGTTAGGGACAGCAGCCGAGACCTTTGGCCCGACGTCAGCAGTCGTGGCGGGGAAAATGCGTTCGGGCGGCTTTTGGGGTGGATCTGACGATGGCATGGAGTTGGAGCGGCAAGCAGCTGACCGCAGCACTCCTTCCACGCCCTCCTTCGTTTTCTTTGAAGGTGGTTTTTCGGTCGACATCGGGGTGGCAGTAGGACCGGTGTGGTTGGGAGTAGAGGAGAAGAGAACGGCTTGTGAATCACCAACCCAGGCGGTGTAGATAAAGTCTTCGTGGAGCAGGCAAACGGTTGCGGTTGTTCCGGAATTCCAAAGCTGTGGAGCATAGAAGTAAACTTAAGACATTTGAAGAAGCAAGATGTGATGTGAACTGCGCAATATCAATAGGGCGCCTGTTTTTGCAAATGGTTTAAAAGTAGGATTCGTAGTTATAAATGGAAAAAAATGATGTGTCGTCCGCAATGAGGTATTATTGTTTGTACTACGTGAAAATGCACCTGAGGCAGGTACGCGATAAAAACAACATTTTCTAGGGGAATGGTGTCATTGGAGCAAACGGAATACACATAAGACTGTTTTGGAAGAGTTTGCTTAAAGAATGCTTACATAATTGATGGTCAAAGAAAGCCTTCTTTTTATTTTTGCAGAATATTGCGCGTACTTGTCCAGACGTTCGCTTAGTACTGCATGAGTAAAATAAAACTGTGGTTCCAAGGACCCTGCAGCTCAGACAAGTAATGGGCGGGAGCCTAAAACGCGACAGTACTGAGAAACCCTTGCTACGGGAAACGTGCAAATTGGAGCATGTCGTAAACACCTACACCAACGGGACAAGACATTGAAAAGATTGTTTGCTAAATTAAACTATTTTATTTACAAGAGCAGGTGGCGTGTATTTAAAAAAGCAATAATGACAGCCAATGGAAGCAAGGCGCACCCAAGTAAAAACTTGATTGGCAGTCAAGGTCAAGTAACCTGCACCAGCCGGTGGCCAACCAGTCATTAAAACAGATATGGGGCTGACGGTTGTTGATGAAAGGCGCCAACGCAGAAAAGGCGGAAAACACTAAATCTGTTAGTTACGGAAGCCAGGTGGCAAGGAAACTGTAAGCACTATATAGGACAATATTTATTTTTTATATACGGTTATGAATACTGTGATTTATATATTGCTAATACCAGGGAATAAGCCCGCCCATTCGAAGTAACCGTTTAGTAAACAAAACAACCCTCAGCCAAACCTTGACGACTAATACTAATCCCAAAGTTAACAGGAAACGGTTGGTGTGTTAGTAAATCCTAACCGTATTTGCGAGCAAAGTAACGCAAACGCTAACCATTGGCCTTCGTCCGAAGGCCAATCTTAACCCCAAGGTAACCAGTAATCCTAATTCTAATGGTAACTGAAGGACGAACCCTAACGTTAACAATCTTAGTCCGGTAAGCCAACCCCGATCGCCAACTATAGTATAATACAAACAAATGAGTCAAAAAAATTGACAGATAATATATGAAGGGGAGGATCGCCTAACATACGAGGTAAAATGGACGCAGTTAATGCTTATACTAATACATAACAGTCGTATCTGCCTCGCGGACGTGCATTCTCGCCGGATGTCTTACTTGAATTTCTTGCCCGCGCGCGGTTTGAAATTTTTAAGCAGTGGCGTG